AATCAATAACGTTGAAAATGTCCTCTGCCTTTGTAGACGTGGGGAGGTCTCGGCTGCATAGAAACTGTTCCTGTATGTCTCCATCCCACACGTGTCTCACGTAAACAAGCAAAAGGGCATGATTAGCAATATCTGTTGACTCATCCATCTGCAATGCATAGTAAGCGCTGGCCTGAATCCCAGCTGAAGTCTGTTGTTTTATGTTGGCTGACATGTCTTCAATGCACCGCATTATGGTGTCATTAAATAGTGGTATGGTCTTCAACTTGTCCGCTGCAGACTGACCTAATACCTCTCTGACCATGTCCAGGGCCGCAGGTAAGATGAGCTCCTCTGCTATTGTATGTGGCTTCTTGGCTATATGTTGAGCTACAAGATATGAGGCCCATAGTGCATGCTCTGATTTGGAACACGAGGACAGCAGTGTCTTCTGGGTGGTCCTCAAGTCCCGAAGTAGTCTTTGAAAGTATTCGACTGGTTTGTCTTTGTACATGCCATTTTGTTTCATTTTGTGGCGTTTTAACTTGGACGGCTTCATACTTTCTTGTGCCAGTATGCACGCATTTCAAAACAAAAGCCCCACGTTAGATACTATCTAAGCATTTGAATCCACAACAATATATCGCTCTCAAAAACTTTTTTTTTTTCACCATGTCTCTCACGACCCACCCCATGACAAACACTGGTATAGAGCACATACAAGAGCAAGAAAGTATGTCTGGTGTTTAGACATTTCCTAATTCTAAATTCAGATGCAGTCTTCAAAGACTGTCCCTTCATTCTCCATTCCCCAAGTACACCCCACCAACCCCCACCCCAGTGGCAGGGAGTATGCAGACTCTTCCTCTTTGCCTGGCTTGCTTTGTTGCAAGGGTTCGACAGACCTGAAAATACATCCCTGAACTTGCCGTCGGCAAGGCAGTGGAACATGGTGCTTGTCAGCAGGAGGAATGAAGAGGAAGAGGAGCAAGGCAAGGAGGGGGAAGGTAGAGGAAAAGGTGGGGTATAAAAAGAAGGGCCTAGATTCCATCTGTCTGCAATAAAGACAGTTCATCTTCCCCTCCACCCATCACCTCTGCTGTCAAGTGGCCTGTCCCACTACTAGCATCAATACCACATCTCAGACACAGGTGCACACTCCCTCAGTCTTTATTTCCATTCACCCTCCTCGCTCACGTTTTCACTGGAACAGTGAAATACCTTCTCCTCCTCCTCTCCTTCTTCTCATCTCTTAACAACATTCCTCTCTACTTTGTGTGCTGGCCTCTTATTTTTCTTTTTGTCAGCCCCTCTTTCCCCATGTTTCCCTTTACTTTGCAATTCCCTTCCTCCTTCTTGTTAATTTTGTTAATTCATTTTCTATCATTACAAATTTTGTAAGAATTATTGCATGACAGTACCTATTTTCTAAAAACTACCAATAACTGATATTCGGTCTTAAATATGACCACCTCATAAAAACATTAGGTAATGCAAATGGTTACCTTAAAAGACAGAAAAAGATGATATTTTGAGTTTTGGGGTCTTATTATCAAGTTATAATGTAAGAAATGTTCAAGAAATGTTAGTAAGTCAGCAATGTTAATTTTTTAACAAAAACTAACAAGAAGTAATTTTAAGCAACATTTTAAATAAGAGTTTCCTCCACCTCCTAAAATATTCAGAAATTGAAATAGCCAGTTGATGTATCACACTGCTTTTCACAAAAAGCATCTTACATTCAGTAAAACTCTTCCTCTCTCATCTGACACTTTGTTCTGGAAAGAAATGGGTTTATGAATTAAATTCCTATAGTTCATCAACCCCGTTGCCCACCACCACCAAAAAAACAAAAAACAAAAGACAGCTAAGACAGTAATAAAATGCAGCAGAATGCCAAGATAAATGCTAATTTAACTTTTAGTCCAGTTTATGTCAATCTACCATTACAGTTGGATATCTTTTATCAGAATCAGCTTTATTGGCCAAGTATGTTAAACACAACTGAAATTTGACTCCAGTACAGAGGCTCTCAATGTGTTTTGTAAGGCTGCAATAAAATATCTGCATTCAAATAGTAAAATATGTACAGTCAAATGCAAAAAGTAAAGTATAAAATGTACAGTATTCATGTTATCCAATAATGTAGCGTCTCCAACTAAACCTAGTGAACAAGATTTTAGTCCAAATGTGAGTGAATCCAGCTTCTGAATTACTCATTGCTCTGCAGGGCAGAGGGACATGGAGACTCCTGTGAACTATTATACTATTATGAGAAAAACAGGTGAAACCATGGTAACTGTACGCAACAAAGATAGCAACAAGTCTCAGCATGCTTAGAAAAAAAATAAATACTACAAAGCCAAATGACTTCTAACAAAAATTAATGTTACATTTTACAGTAGTGTATTGCTGCTGTGAAAAATAAATGTACTTTGTATCTCATAATGAAAAAATGTTTTTGTTTTAACAAGTAAGTATTTTGTTATACTGTGCTGCAGTGGGTAGAGCAGTCGTCTCCCAACTGGAGGGTCGAAAGTTCGAATCTCAGTGCCTGCAGTCCATGTGTCAAAGTGTCCTTGGGCAAGACACTGAACTGAATGTTGCCCCCGATGGTTAGAGCCATTGGTTGAGTTGACGCCGCAGATGGCTGCCTCGGTTCTGTACCGGAAACAAATTCCTTGTGTGTAACATACTTGGCCAAATAAATGTGATTATTATTATTATTGATTATGAAAAGGTATCTTAATACTGTATAACAAGGACATTATCTTGCTGTAATGAAATAAAAA